AAGTACCCAGATGTTAACTCCTACATTTATCTAAATCATAGGTGCATCGTACTGGTGCAATGTTCCCACAGCCATTCAGAGAGAGGAGTACCAATTCATTCTTAATCAGTGTAACTCCTCATGGGACTTCCTTAAGAGCTCTTCCTCCACTAGCTGTGCTCGGTTTGTGCCATGCATATACTTCCTAGTTATATGACCAAAAGTTTGAAAACAGCAGGTTTTCTGAAACAGCAGTTCTGAAAGAAATAGATAAAATATTCAGCTGGTAGTGTCCAGAATGATTGGTAACTAGTTATTGCAAATCATATATCACAATGGTTGAAAATAGCATCTGAATTTTGAAGGGAAATTTTTCAGTTAATCCAAACACAATTCCTTCATGCTTAGTCTCAGTCATTTCCATTTTAATAAACGTGTGACAGCATGTATGTAACAGTCAAACCCACTGTGATATGATTACACACAAATATTCTTTGTAGTAGTTGTTAATCTCTGAAATGTTACTTTTAAAGCCTGGAAACTGGACAAGCTTTTTTCATTAGATAGTCATGTATATGTAGTCAAATTGTTTATTTTTTACAGATGAATTTCCTTCTTGCAGTTCTTGTTCATGAGGATTGAAAAAATTATTTAAAAGACCTCATTAGAATCCTTCAAGCAGTTTAACTGTATGTTGTTACAAGAAACAATGGCTAGAAAACTGGTGTAAAAAAAAAAATTGTTCTTATATTTTGTATGCAAATAAGGGAAAATTAGAGTTGCACAAAATATCAGCTTGATTACCTGAATATAAAAATGTTCATCTTTTATGAAGGTCAGTAGTTTACTTTTGTTTTCCTTTTTTAGCAACTAACACATGCAAAAAATTACCTGGATACTCAGAGTGATGTTATTACCACAAGCTTAAAAAGGCAAAAGGATTCTGTAGTGAACAAGATTGTATTCCAGCTTGTTAAAAGGCGTTATGCCTTTAGCATCATGTAGATTTTTCTGCTTAGTAAGTCACTTTATGACTTTATTGACAAAATACTATGACAGTACAAACATCAAACCAAAATATAATAGTTATATTGCAGCTTTATTTTGTTTGCTGCCTTAAGAAAATCTTTTGCTTTCTCTAGCAATTGCTGGAAAAATGAGCAAGAAATGAAAAATTATTCCAAAGTCTTGCTCTTTGGTCACAGGCCCGTGAGGGAAGGTACCTTGGACTGTAGTCCTTCCTACGATGTCTCTTTATACATTTTGCTGTAGTGAACATTTCCTTTCAATTAGATTATTTTGCTGGATACTGTGTCACCAGGTCCATGACTGATTTCATCACACATCAAACATATTTACATATATTATTGCATTCCACATAATAGTCTTTAAAAAAATTTTTTTTTTAAAAAAAAAATCTCTTTCCTGGCTACACAAATAGTATCTGAATGGAAGAATTTTTTTTCCCCCTCAATGCTGTTGCTTACTGGAAGTCTTCTTAAAGGTGTTACAGTAACTGTAATTTGTACAACTTTATACAGATTTTTTTTGTGGTTGCAGTTGCAGTGTCTGTTACTGCAAACCTGTGAAAAGAACAGGTGCAATAGAGTGTTACCTCTAAGGGATATTAAAAAAAAACCCAGAGTGTAATCAGTACTGTAAGAAAGGATACTCTTACTGGAACTGTGATAGATAAAAGCAGCTAAAGTACCCCTCCACCCCCCCCCAGCACACACACTATTGTTTACAGATTTTACAGTTTACAGGAATCCTATCAGTATTTTTTTTTCATTGATTCATGATTCAGTAATATAGAATAATGTTCTGCTATCACTGATGGAAACTGCAAAGATCCTAACCTTTCATAACAATGAAACTCATTGGATTAACAGATGCTTATAAAAATATACTGCACTGCAAGGAAGGTTTCATAAAAGTAGCAGCACAAAAAAAAATAGAAAAGATATTAATAATGTTAGTATTCTATCATAATGTCTGAGGAGTGCATTTGGACAGTATACCCTGTATTGCCTCACATTTGCATTAACTTGTGCAAGTTCTTCAGAAACTAAGAGTGCAATCTGTGGATCCTACTCTACATTCAGAATGCCTTCAGTGATGTTCCAATATTTTCTAACTGAAATCTGTTGTTTCTGTGGATCAACCCATCTAATGTCATACAGCTGAAACTGTCGTGGGATGGCTCATATAGGCACCTTTTTTTTCTGTTCTTTGCTTTATATAAACTGAAGAGATAATATTCTTGGATACAAAATGACTTTGTGGATCACGTGAAGTATTTTCTGATATTCTCATTGGTTAATATTAGGAATTGAGGATACATTTTTCACTTCTATGTAGCTACAAGTAATACCCTAGGAGACTTTTAAAATATTCTTTCCAAGGTATAACAGCCTGGAGAAAAAAACCCTCAATTATTCACGAATGTCTTTCATGCTCCTTTCTAATAAGTTATAATTTAGATCTTGATCTAAGAAAAAAACTATCAATGAATGGTACTGTGTAAGTAATGTGTTTTCCCATAATTTGCAGCAGCTCGTTTCTAAAATTAAAATAAGCATTTGTTTGGTTTGTGCTACTGGAGCAAGCATACTTAAGTTGCATTGTATAGTCTAATAAGTCATTCATGCAATGCTTGAATGAGAAAATGCTATTTATTTCAGAAATCTGCTCTTTTGGATACAATAAAAGATAGATTTTTCTTAATAATGGCTTAAGCGGTAGATGTGCAGTGCATTTGATAGCAGTAAGATAATTATTCTCAGTCAAAGACCAGTCTCACTTGTAAGAACTACTTTTCATTGAGCAACTGTTTGGTCATCTAACTGTCTGCAATAATACATTGTAGAAAAAAATTCCTACCAGTATAAGAAAAAAAAGATTCCTTAGGTCTGTAGAAAATAAGAACCATGAGAGCAGGCATTCTTCTTTCTCTCTGTCATTCTGTTTAAGGCTCATAACCAATGGTGTTATGCTAGGGAGATGTTGTAGTGTTCTCAAGTAGCAATTGGACATTAACAAATGCAGTGTTTAGACAGAAACCGATTTACTGATTTTTTTCTGGAGTGTGATGAGAAGGCACGGACTGTGAAAATGTGAACACAATGCTGAAAAGGCAATAAGAGCCCACAGGGGCACTTCATAAGCCAATTCCCACAAAACTTAGTGATTCACTGCATAATGATGTGCTTCTGGAACACTTGTTTCCTGTAGGGCACAGTGATATTACTGAAGTGTTGGTTTGATATAATAATAAAACTAAAACTTTCCTGCTAAGGGACCTGGTCAGATCTGAAAAGCACAGGCAAGGCAAATTTTAGGAAGCTGTGAACAATAAGTGAAGGAAGGATTACTCTGCCCAAGATTTGTGGAGTCATGATTTCCTGGTGTGGGAGAAGGAAATGAAAGATTTGAGCAAGGATAAAGTGCCTGTTAGCTAACAGGGTGAAAAAAATGGAGCTGTCCAGTGCATGAAGTGGCTGAATGGGAAAGACTGCAGAGCATAGTCAATAATCTAAAAAAAATCCAAGTGTAATTCTGAAAGATAGATGAGTGTTGGTTCAAAACCAATCAGATCAGACTTATTAAAATGCAGAAAGTGATTACAAGTGGCTCCATGACTCCTGCCATCTATGATCTGCATATCGAGTATGTTGAAAACAGGAGGACAGTGGGAAGGTAGCGAAGACCATTTTAAAAACTTAAGAAGTGCTTTATTTAACCAGCTTTTCTACTTGTGTCATAACTGTAGAGCTGTGGAGTTGTCTACTCTACCTTTCTCTATAACTATATGTGATAAATGCAGCCCATTTACTAATGCAGGTTTCACAGATCCATACGAGACTGGCATTTATTGTTGTTACTTCATTTGGCTACCACAGAGCTATAGTAATCTTTTCTAACTTGACATCCAACACAGCTTCTTAATCGTTTTGTAAACCAAAGAAGAATCTAAAGAACAGGATGACAGCAAATTTGTGGGTTTTCCTCATTGCAGTGAAGAATGTTGAAAAGCCTAACTTGTGGTCTTTGTTTTGTTTTGTTTTGTTTTTCCTAAGGGTACTCAGAAGCCAAAGATTGAAACTGTGGGTACAATTACCTCTAAAAAAAATCAAACCAATTGTGCTTTAAAATGCAAGTACTGTATTATTATGTCACTAATGCACTGAGGTACAAGAACGTTATTTACTGTTGGAATGCTGTTAAATGGTTGTTATTTCAACTCCTTCTGTTACAGAACATGAAAAGCAGCGGTTATGCAAAAGCACAGATTATATGAATTTGCACTTCAAAGTTAAATGGTTTTATAATGAATATGTGCGAGAACTCTCTGCTTTCAAGGATGCAGTGCCTGAATACTCTCTGTAAGTAGTGTATGGGGAAGTCTCCAATGAGTTTGGGCTTGGTGCAAGGATTATTTTGGCTAAATATTTATGCTCAATTTTGTGCAAGGTCTCAAGGTGTGACTGACAACTCTTTGCCCACATCTCAAGCACTGACAACTCTTTACTTTTCACACTTGCTCCTCTTTAATTCTTCAGTCTACCAAATTAAATAGTCCAGGTCTTAGAGGTGTGATTATCCATTTCATAGAACACCTTAGGCAAACTGCAGGTCTTCATAGATGACAAAATCTTTTGATCAGAGAATGCCCAAGGAAGGTATGAAATGTGGGAACAGCAGCAGTATTAGTCATAGGCCCCTGCATTTGTTTCGTACCTAAATTTGGATAAAGATGCAGTGCTTCTTGCATCTTTACCAGTGACGTTTTGTTAAACACCAGCGATATTTTATTAAAGCAAAGTTTTATCCAAGTTATTGTACATACAGATAAAGAAAAAATGCTAACAAAGAACCAATACCGATAAAAGACACATTCTAAAATTTATAAAATGTGCAGAATATGATCCCCTGCAAAACATGGATGTATTTCTGTGATGTCTATCCCTAATTTTATAGCACTACAGTAGGCCAGTTAGAATATTGTGAAACTGAAGCCTGAAAGACTTTTTGGTAGCCGCAGTATCTTTGGTGACAAAACTTTTTCTAGCATAATGGACTTTTTAGCAACTAGAACAGATGTGAAGACACAAGATGCCAAACTGCGGGGTGGTATGGCATTTTTCCTCTTGGGATGTTCATGAGAGGTACTTAATTTATAAATTTTTTTTTAATTTTCAGGTGGTTTGAACCATTTGTCATTCAGTGGCTGGATGAAAATGAGGATGTCTCAATGGAATTTCTTCATGGAGCACTAGAAAGAGACAAAAAAGATGGGGTGAGCTTTTACTTTTTAAAGAAAAGAATGAAGAAAGTATTAAGACAGCTATTTGGTATTATAAAACCAGAAATACACTTGGTCCCACAGTATCCTTATTAGACCTCAGAATATATGCAATCAGTAACAGTTCTTGGAAGATAATCCTATGGACAACTTTCTCTTCTCATTCCATCTGTCTAAATTCCCCACAAGCTTCAATCTATGGTTTCCCTGATGTGATATTGATGTAATGAAAGAAAATCTTGGTTTTATTTTTGACAGGTTTGAAAGCAATAGGAGTGTGAAAAGCCACATTTTTCAGCATTATCAGTGAGATTTTTTAAATTTTATTTTTATTTATTATGTGATTCTAGGAAGAATTTCAAGTGTAAGAAAATCAGTTAATATGTTTTTTATCTGTGGACAAGTATTAACTCATTTGAATGTTTCTCTCTAGTTTCAGCAAACATCAGATCATGCCCTCTTCTCTTGTTCTGTGGTTGATGTCTTCACACAGCTCAATCAAAGCTTTGAGATTATCAGGAAACTGGAGTGTCCTAATCCAGAAGCACTATCTCATTTAATGAGAAGATTTGCAAAGGTAAATTAAAACCAGTGCATCTCAGATAGGCTTCAGAAAGAGTGATATTGTGTTGCCATGTACTTAAAAGCTAAGTAATTCCAATTTAGAATCAATCACTCCTTAGAATTAATCACTGACTGGGATCCTTGGAAAGATCTGCTGTCTGTGGCTTAACACAGTTTTTCATCTACCATGTCAAAATCTTTACCAATTTGAGAAGTTCTATGCTCTATGAGATTTCATATGTGTGTGTGTATATATATATAAATGTTACATATATATATGTATGTTATGCAAATCTTTTAATGGAGCAATTGAATGAAATGCCGTTATCTAATTAGTCAGTGCAATAAAGTATTGTTGTTTGAAGCCCTGAGGTGGTAGTTCTTATTCATCTGCTGTGTGATAAACTCAGCCTAGTTGGGCCATCTTTCTATTTGGACTGAAACACTTCCTCACAAGCTTTAGACTTCCATTATAGTCCTGATGGTTTTTTAAAAAGTTTGCATTTACATCTATTCCTGTTCTTCCATTGTGATGATTTTCCATTTGCAAACAAGGTTCCCAGTCACATGATTGTTGTAAGGTCAGCTCACATTGCCAGGCTTTGAACAGTGCTCTCTTGGTTTTATATTTTCCTGTTATATTTTTAATCTAAGCATTGTGGCCCTTGAATGGCTGGGGTTTGAACCCTGAGCCCCCGAATTAAGGTTGACATATGGGTGATTCCCACAGCCCTTCATAAAGAGGCGGTGAATTTGCCTTATAGCTTCCCCCCAGGGTGCGGCCGGCCCTGCAGGGAGAGCCAGAAGGGAAATGAGCCCCAGGGGTCCCGCATTGAGTTGACAAAGGTCAGGTGTCTGCTTGGGGATAAAAGCTGGGACCACTGGCAGGGAGTCAGGAGTGTCTGTCTGTGGAGTGCACTCCACAGAGTGTCCTGGTTCAGGGCAGACCTCCTGACTCTCCCTGGAGCTGGGCCCCAGTCTGCTTAAGACCTTTGAGAACGCTGGTGGATCAGGTGAGAGTCACTATGTGGTCACCTTTCTCTTATGTGTTCAGCTTGCTGGTCTGGCTGTTTCCCATGCCAACTGTGGACAACCTCGGGTCTCTGTTTGTACCACCTGTTGTGGGCCGAGTTACATCCTTTGTGAGATCACTGGGGTTAGAGTCAATTATGTACCAGCTGATTGATCTGTTTGTACCTCCAGCAATCATTCATGGAATGTCCTTCTTGTCTACAATGCAGTCTGTGTATTGGTTGATCTTCCTGCTGGTGGTGGTATCATGTTTGTTGAGCCTGGTCATTGGCAAAACAGGCCCTAAAGGATTTAGTGAGCTTGGTATTTTTCCACTATGTAGCACATTGCAAGGAGTAGAACTGAGAACAGTATAACTAAAATTAAAGTATGTCTGCTATTGAAGATTACATTCCTTTATGAACAGCTCACCATCTATTGTCGAGGGATTTGAAAGTGTGCTTACTAAGATTGTTTATATTATACCTAAAATATTACTATATACTAGATGTGTAATCTAACCTGTGAAATCTATAACTTATATAAACCTCCTTTTTTTGTGGTGTTTTTAATTATTTTTGTTTTACATGATGAAAATTACAATTTAAGATACTCTTCTCTTCTCCTAGACTATCAACAAAGTACTTCTTCAGTATGCTGCAATTATTTCAAACTACTTCAGCTCATATTGTGATAAAGACAATGTGGTGAGTAAAAAGTTGTGGTTTGTTACTGCCTCAGAAATTACCTTTCAATGACTTACTGTACTTTTCGATCAGTTTTGTATAGGAGAAAAAACAGGAATGGAGGAGAAATTTTTTGGTTTGCTTTATTTTTTTAAAAAGGTCAGCACGTTTTCATACCTGCTTACATCAGTGTGCAAAAGATGGAGTAGGTAAAATTAGTTAAGAATCATAGATAATCATTTCAGTGTTAATGTAGAAGAGATCTTGACAAGATTGTCAGAAATACATGGCTTAAGAACACCCTAATTCTTCCCCATGTTCTCTGTATTGTGAGGCAATTCCATCAATCTAGAGGTCACCAGCATATATACAATAATAGAATTCAGAAAGAACTCTATTGCAACTAAACATCGATCATTTGTGGTTCTTCTCATAAGCCATTTTCAGCTGGCACAGAGTTGATTTGCTTTCTAGTAGCTGGCAGAGTCCTGTGTTTTGGGTTTAGGGTGAGAATAACGTTGGTAACACACTGATGTTTCACTTGTTGCCAAGTAGCGATTATCCTAAGTTCAGGGTTTTTCAGTTGCCCACGGTCGGCCAGCAGGCAGGTGCACAAGAAGCTGTGGGGGAGCATGGCCAGGACAGCTGACCCAAACCAGCCACCGGGATATTCCATATCATGGAATGTCATGCCCAGGATATAAATGCTGGGGACAGTTGGCCAGGAGAGGCCAAACGATGCTTGGGCATTGGTCAGTGGGTTCTCAGCAACTGCACTGTGGATCACTTATTTTCTCTCGGGATTCATTTCTCTCTCTTCATTATATTCCTTTTCATTACAGGTTTTTTTGTTATCATATTTTATTATTATTTTAATTATTATATTGTCATTTTTGTTGTTAAACTGCAGTACTTTAAACCCACTTGTTTTACCCTTTTACTAATGCTCCTCCCCATCCCACGGGGAAGGGGGAAGATTGGATGAGTGGCTGCATGATGTTTAGTTGCCAGATGGGACTAAATCAGGATAATTACAACAGACTAGATTTAGTAATTTTTCAGGCCACAGATATATTTGCTTAGAGGAGAGATTTTTACTATTCTGTTCCTTTTACATAATTTTGTCTGAAACTGAATTAATAAAGTACCAAACTCAAAACATTATTATTAAGTAGAAGTTTTCTATACGGGCTTTACAGAGAAGTGACTTTTATGTGTCATGTCTCACATTTAGCTTCCCATTGCAGATATTTTCAATCTTGAAGCCCTTTGCAATAAAGGCACTGAAAAGACTCACTTCATGAGATATCCACACATCTTTCTTCTGACGGTACTATATATTTTCAGCATCTGAAAAGAGCAAAAGCACCAGGCCAAGTTTGACAACCATTATGTAAGGAGAATCAGTCTTATAGCTGTAGAACGCTAGGAAATATGGCAGTATTAGGATAGACGACTTTAATTGGAAGAGACTAACATCAGTCATCTAGTCCAACTGCCTGAGCACTTTAGGTCTGACCAAAAGTTAAAGCATGTTATTAAAGGCATTGTCCAAACGCCTCTTAAACTCTGATAGGCATGTGGCATTGACCACTTATAAGAAGCCTGTCCCGGAGCTCGACTACACTCCCAATAAAGGAATGCTTCCTAGTGTCCAGTCTAAACCCACTGATGCAGCTTTGAACCATTCCCACATGTCCTGTTGCTGGATACTAGTTGATATATGATAGATGATTACACCGTATTACCAGGGGTTTTCCCCACAATCTAGCAGGATGTAAATCTTCATACATTTCTAGCTTTACAGGTATGACTTCTACATAATCCTTACCTCTTTTTCCTCCAAGGCAAATACAGAGGTGAAAAGAACACAACAATCTCTCTTTCTAGTACAGAGGAGTGAAACTATTACATGTCTTGTACTTTAGTGTTAATCAGTCCAGAGGGACCTGGACAGGCTGG